GCTGGTTATAGATTAATGAAAAAAAAAAAGAGGGCAAAATTTAGTCAGCACCCATTTTGAACTTTTTTTTATATTTAGATTATTTTTTTTTAATTTTCATAACTTTTATATTTTTTTTTTATTTTTTTTTATTTTTTTATATTATATATTTTTATCTGATCCTCTTTTATCAAGGTAACATTCTTTATTTTTTTTTTACAACAATGATTTAGCGTACTAAATTTTTTATTTCTAATAATAACACGCTCATGGATTAAAAAAATCAGGTTTATTATTAGGCTTTTTCAAATATTTTTTTACCAAAAAAAAAATCAATTATGTATAATTTTTGAGTTTTATCTCTTTAAAACTCAAAAATTTATCTCTTTTTATCTGAAATTTTTATTTTTTTTAATTTTTTTAATTTTTTTTTTTTTTAACCCCAAATTAATGAAATATATATTCAAAAAAAATTTTTTTTTACTCCATAAGGTTTAAAAAGATAATCATCTTTTTTTTTTTTTTTCAAAAAATGTTTTTGGCCCACATGAAAAATAACAATCAATTCGTATTTAATTATAATAATTAAAAAGGGTTTTTTTCAAGTAAAGGAAAATATATAATGTTTAAAAAAAAAAAAAAAAAATTTTAATTTTAGAACCACTAGTGAGCCACCATCCAAAAATATAATTTTTTTTTAATGAGACAATATTTTGTCATGCTAAAGTTTTTTTTTGTATAAAAATGTTTTTTATTTTGATTATAGATTATTTTTTAGATTTTTTGTTTTTTTCTTCTTTCTTTTTCATGATGAACTCTTGTTTATCTTTATTTGAAACTGGATTAATAAATGTACCTGGTAATACGGAGACCTAATTATTTGAAAAAAGTATTATTAATATAATGATTGGAGGAAAAAAAAAAAAAACAATAACTTTATAATGACTAAAACTTACCTTTGGTTCAATTAATTTTCTAAAAGCAGTTGTTGAATTCCAATCTTTACCATGGGCAATTGATAAAGTGCTTTCATATTGTTCTTTATTAGAGTAGTGTTGTGGAAGTTTATTTAAAATATATTTTGAAGCGCCCTTTTTTAAAAAAAAAAAAAAAAATTAATATTAATAATGTGATTATTAAGAAAATAAAAAAAATGGTAAAATTAAACTTACTTCTAATGGAGCTTTTTCATCAATAATAACTCTACTATTTTGAGCATCGAGTCTTCTTTTAGCAGCTTCTTTAAGTTTTTCTTGACGTTTTCTTTTTAATGCAGCATCTCTCTTTGAATTGTCACGTTGTTTAGCACCATCACCAACCCATGAACCCCAACCTGGAAGGAAGTTTGATTTTTCTTCTGGTACATCCTCTTCTAAAATTTGTTTCTTTTCATCCATAAACTCATCCTCTATATTATCTTGAGCAAATGCTTCTAAAAGTAAATCTTTTTGTTTATTTGATGTAATTAAACTCATACCAACTGATTTCTTTGATTTTTTATTTTCATTATCTTCTTTATCTTCAAGTTTTCTTTTATTGCTACTGTTGTTATTATTACTATTATCTTTTTCAGTTGTATCCATTGAAATTGGTAAATCACCATTTTTAACTTTTTCTTTTGAATTATTTGAACCTAAATTTTTATTACTACTATTATTATTTAAATTATTTAAACTAATTAAAAATTCAGTTGATTGTTTCTTCTTTTCTTTTTTACTCTTCTTTTTAGTCTTGGTAACTTCTAACCATGGATTCTCTTCATCTAACTCTTCTTCGACTTGTTCCTCTTCTTCTTGATTTTCTTGTTGTTTTTTATTATTAACTTTTTTAATTTCTTCGTCTTGTTGTTGTTGTTGTTTACCTAAAATATCAATTGATACACCAGATTTAACTTTGTGACCGCTGCCAAAACCTGCTTTTTCGACTAATTGACCAGTTGACATAATTTTATTGGATGATTGTTTATTGGATGCAACTTGTTTATGAATAGCAATTCTATTTGATTGTTCAATTAGTTTTTCTTGTTCATCAATTTCATTTTGTTCATAATCATCAACACCATTCATTTTCTTTATTGAGTCATCTAAATCTCTTTCTAATGCTTTTTGCATGAATTTCATTGCATTAATACCTTTTTCTGGGAGATTGGTTGGTTTACCTAATTTTTGTAATTTCAATTGAATTCTTTCTTTGTCGGATAATGCTTGTTGATCAACCTCTGATAAATCAATTTTGCTACCTTTTGATTTGCTGTTGGTTTCTTGTTCATCTTCACTATCATACTCTTCACTATCGTCACTGTCATCTTCGTCTTCACTATCGTTAAATCTATTTGCTTTGGCCATAATTTCATCGGCTAATTTACGTTGTTCATTCATATCTTGTCTTTTTTCTTTATTCAAACCACCCTTGATAAGTTGGCCCATGAATTTGCTATGGTTTTTGTGTTTCATTGTCATTCGTTCGAGGATACGTTTTTCTTCAGCCTTTTCAGCGAGCTTTTTAGCAAAATCTGGATCAAGCTCTTTTAATCTATCTTCTAATTTCTTTGCTTCCCTTTCTTTTTCTTTCTTTAAAATCTTTCTATATTTCTTACTCTTGATCTTCTTTCTTCTCTTATCCTTTAATTCTTGATAGTACATGATGTTACGTAATTTAATAGTTTCTCTAAGTTGTCTTTTGGCTTCGATTGGATCAACTTCTTGTTTTAATTTTTGAACAGCACCACTTTCTTGAAGAGCTCTATTGATTTCATCATTTAAATCTGATTTTTGGAAACTATTGGCAAGTGATTGAGAGGTATTGGCGACAACAACTTTTGAATCGAACTTTAAATTCTTATCTCTTTGTTCTCTAACGAATGGTACCCATTGTGTAAGAATTTTGTGAGCTTGTTCTGTTGTAATTCTTCTTTGAATTTTATCTTTTTCAAATTTGGATAATGGAGCTGAAATTGCACTCTTATCGGCGATGTCCTCGATTTGTTGTTTGAATTGTTCGAATTCATTTGGCATAAAACTCATCAAATCGTTAATATCGATTGTACCATTTTCATCTGCTGTTGGGAACATACCAAATAATGATTCACTACCGACTGATTCTGTCATATCTGCTAATTTCTTGGTTGATTTTCTTGGTTGATTTTTTTCTAAATTCTTAACAATTGATAATAAATTTGAATTAACTCCATCTTCTACATTATCGTCTTCTTCTGATGGGGCTTCATCGTCAAATTCATTTTCGCTAAATTCTAAATCTTCTGAATCATCATCTGAATCTCCTTCTTCATCTTCCTCATCGTCTTCTTCATCACTATCTTGAACAACTGGTTTGGTATTTTGTGATTTCTTTGATTGTGCTTGAACTGGTTTGGTTGCTGGAGTTGCTGGAGTATCATCATCTAAAAGTTCAGAAAGATCTACAAAATCATCATTTCCATATTCATCTTCAAAATCTTTTCTGTCCTATAAATTTAAATAATAAAAAAAATATAATGTTAGTATTTAATATTTTAATATATATCAAAAAACAAATGATATAATATTACTTTTTTTTTTAAACCTGATGTTTCTTCATCATCTTCATCGAAAGCTTCATCCTCCTCAATTTCTTCATCATCAAATCTTCTTGGTAATTTATAAGAGTCCAATTCTTCTTGACCATCATCTTGATCCTCATCGTCTAAATATTTTGAATATTTATCTTGAATATCATCATCTTGATTTTTTTTATTATTCTTTTTTCCGAATGATTTCATCATAGAATTGGTTTTTTTTGATCCAGTTGATGTTTTTGGAATATAAGGTTTAGCTGAACCATCGATAATAGCTTTGACTCTTTTAAATTTTTCTAATTCCGCATCTTTTTGTTTCATTTTTTCTATATAATTAAAAAGTAAACTTTCTTTTTACTGTGAAAAAATGTTAATGAGCTATTAATCGTTTTTTTTTTTTTTTTTTTTTTTTCGTTTTTAAAATTTTTTTTTTTTTAAAAATATTTTATTTTTTTTAATTTTTATTTTCTTTAATTTTTTTTTTTCAATATCTTAATTAATTTTTAAATTATATATAAATATAAATAAACTCAAATAAAACAAAAAATATACTTTTATTATATTCAATACTATTCTAAACTAAAAAAAATTATAAAAAATTAAAAAATTAAAAAATTAAAATAAATAAATAATATATATTAATAAATACTTTTTAAACCACATGGTATAAAAAGTGTAGTTGTGATTCTAAATTATTATTATTCATAGATAAACTAACTGGATTGTTTTATAAAAAATAAAAAAAAAAATAATTACATTTATATAATTTATAACAGTTAATTTTTTTTTAAATTTTTTTTTAAAATTTTTTTTAAAATTTTTAAAAATTTCAAAATTTTTTTTTATTTTTCATTTTTATTTTTAAATAATTATTGTTTTATTATTTCTAAAAATTAATTTTTGAAAATAATAGTTCTAAATTGGTTTTTTTTTACAAAAATGGAAAATTTAGAAAATACATCAACCACCAATACAGAAATACAAGATAATATTAATAACAATGATAATATAAATAATACAGATAATATAGATAATAGTAATAATAACAATAATATAATAAATGAAGAAGAAAATAGTGAAAATGAAGATAAAGTAACAGATGATAAAAATTCAGAAGATATTGCACTTGGGTCAAAGAGAAAAAGAATACCAGTACAAAGGGGATATCCAAAAGAGCAGGATGAAGAAGATGATGAAGAAATTGATATAGGCGATGACGAGTTTGACGACGAAGATGAAGATAATGACGAGGATGACGATGACGACGAAGATTATGATGATGGTAGTAGCAAGAAAAGAACCAAGAAGCAACAAAAAGAACAAGATGAATTAGATGCACTTGAATCTAAAATTAAATATGACGAACATGGTGAACCAAATTTAGATGTTATAGAGGAAGAAATTTTTATGGAAGATGAAGGAGAAGAAGAAGAGGAGGAGGAAGAGGAGGAGATCGATGAAATTAGTGATAGCGAAGACGACAGTGATGAAGAAATGGAGCATCAAAAACAAAAAGAAGCAGAACAAAAACAATACTCTCAAGGCAATCAAGGTGAAGTTGACACTATTTTTCAAACAGGTGATCCAGGTGACGATTATCTTATTCCAATTAGATTAGATCTTCAACATGGCTTATTCAAATTCCACGACTATTTACTTTGGAATCTAAATGAAAAAAATATAACACCAGAGTACTATGCCAAACGTTTATGTATCGAATTGGATTATCCAGAATGGTTTGAAGCTTTAATTACAAATGGTATTGTCGTTCAAGTAAATAATGGTAAAAATATTATTAGAGAATTTCGTAAAATTTTACCAAAACTTAAACAAATTTTAAGTGAATGTATTATAACCATCAATTTAGATTTAAATGTCAATGGTCTTTACTTGAAGGATAGATTTGAATGGGATATTTTAGGACCAAATTTACCAGAGTCATTTGCTAAATCAATTTCAATGGATTTTGTATGTATTTTAAAATTAAAATAAATAAGTAAATAAATAAATAAATAAATAAAAAACTAATATTTTTTTTAATTAGGGTTTATCAAGAGAGTTTGAAAATATTATTGTATATTCGATTAGAGAACAACTTCAAACACATTATCATCAAATTACATATCAATTCAGTTTACCCAATTTTACATACTATACACCAATGAAGACTGGTGTTATTCATGCTGAACAAGTATTAAGAAGCGAATATCAATTATCATTCTTTACACCAAATGTATCATATAGACAACCACCTCTCAAAGCTCATGATCCTAATACTGCTTACTTTAATCAACAAAATCATTTAAGACAACAACAACAATTCCAACAAAGTCAAATTAAAGGTAAAATACAACAACCAATTTATTATTTACCACCACAACACCATCATTATTTACAGCAACAACAACACACATCACAACAAATTTTACAACAAATTCCACCACATCAATTATTCTTTAATCGTTAAATAAATAAGATTAATGTGTGCTTTAATTAAAAAAAACTTTATTTAATTAATTGATACTTTTATTAATTATTATTATTATTATTATTATTATTGTTGTTGAAATACATTTTTGTTTTAAATGTATTGTTAATATATTGATGTGTATATTTGTTTATGTATAAGTTAATGTATATCTATTACATTAGATTATGTATTGTATATATTATTTTTATTTTATTTTATTCTGATGATGGAATTACACTATTATAATGTTCACCCAAAGTAAAGGCATGTCTATGATATGATAAATAAAGTTTTTCCTCTTTATCATTTTGGAATTCTTCACCAATAGTTATATCGTTTGAATAGGCATTGAAAATAACAATGACTTTTTTAAGTGATTCTGAGAGTGCTTTAAGTTCAATATGACCACCCCATTTACCAACTTGAAGTACTTGCTCTTCACAATAATCACTGATTGGATCTTCACTATCGGTATAATCTTCTTCGCTTGAAATATATGGAAGAAATTCATCTCTGTTTGCTTTAATGTAATCTGCAGCTATGGTTCTTAATGTTCTTGGGTATTTCTTACTTTCTTCTTCGCTTATAATTTTATTGATTAAAAGTTGATTTGTAATTGCTGAATATAAACAATCACCATCTGGGTTAATCTACAATAATGACAATAAAAATTTAATTAATATCGTATTTCAAAACCATTATTTCTATTGATAGTTACCATTTTAATTGATTTCTTTAATGGTTTGAGTTTGGTCATAAAATCGTTAAATTCGATAACACCTTTTGATACAAAATTCTTTCTATCTTCTTCTAATTGTTTGATTCTTTGTTCCTCTTCTTCTAATTTCTTTGCTTTTTTTAAGTATGCTTTTGATGGTGCATTTGGTTTTGAGTTGATTAAAAGTTGGTTTAATGATTCGCTGATATTTGGTTGTGTTTTTTCAAAACCATCTAATTCCTCTTGATGTTTCATGTTTAATTCATGCTCCATTTTCTTGGTTTTAACTAATAAATCTTGTTTTGCTTTTTTATCTTTTTTTGGAATTGCATGATTTAATTTATCAATTTGTTGTTGTAATTTCTTTATTTTAAATAAATTAAAATAATTAATTGTCTGAAAAAAAATTTGAATTTTATTTATAACCAATACAATTGGTTTATAATTACCTTTACTTCTAATTTATGTCTTTGTATCATTTTACCTTTACTTTCCTTTTTTTCATCACCACTATTTTCATCTTCGTCCTCCTCTTCTCCTTCATCCTCTTTTTTATCCTCATCGTTGTTATCTTCAATGTCATTATTTTCAACTTTTTCTACCTTTTTAACATCTTCTTCGTCATCTGAAAGATTTACTACCAAATTACTCTTTTTTTTACCCATTTTATTGTTATTGTTTACTATTATCTATTGGTATTTATTATTATAGGAATAATTTTATAATATAGATACTGTAAAAATTAAAATAATAAAACAAAATAAAATATTTTTTTTTTTTTTTTTTTTTTTTTTTTAAATTTTTTTTTTTTTTAAAATTTTTTAAAAATAAATTCAAAATTTTTTTTAAAATTTTCTTTATTTTAATTTTGATTTATTTAAGAAACAAATAAATTAAAAATTAATTATCTTTTTTTTTTTTTTTTTTTTTTTTTTTATATTTAAGTTCATTTTAATATATTTATTTATATATTAATATTTCATAAATCACCAATAATGAGTAATGAAAAGGTTTATAATATAAATTTAACAAAAGGAACAAAAAAATGGAACATTGCAAAATTTTCAAATAAGATTGAATTATCTTCATTTTCAAAGCCAGTTAAAATGTATAAATTCAATCCATTAACACAGTTATTAAATCATGACATTAATAATGCCACTAACAACAATACAAATGGTACTACTGGTACAACAAATGGCACTAATGGTACAACATCCACCACAACTACTACAACTACCACAACTACTACAACTACTACAACCAATAATGCCACACCAAATCCTAATGCTGCCCAACCATTTCATAGAAAAAAAAGATACGAAGCCAAACCAGTTAACCCAAAAACTATACCTTGGAAACTTGAAGATAGTAACGGCAACCACTCATATCAAGGTAATGTTGAAGGTAATCAATCATCATCCAATTACTTTTTATTTATGTTCCAAAGTGATGGTTCTATTAAAGCTGTTCCATGTAATGATTGGTATAATTTTAGACCAAAAAAAGAATTCGTTTCTCTCACAACCGAAGAAGCTGAAGATTTTGTAAGTAATATTATATTAAAAAATATATATATATATATTTATATTAACATATTTTAATATTTATTTTTAATATTAAATCAATATAGATGAAAAAGAAAAACCAAGAATGGGATTTCCTTACAGCAAAACTTAAAAAGAATGATCCAAATGCAAATTTAGAAAAGATTGAGGAAGAAGAGCAGCCTCTTAAAAAGAAGGTTAATGAAGATCCAAATAGATATACAGAAGCTGATGTTAAGAACGATAAAAAACTTCAAAATAGAAAAGAAAAGAAAGAGAATGAATATAACGAAGATGGGGATGCTCCAGATTTTGAAAATAGATTTGAAGATGATGAGGATGATACCTACATGGAGGGCGATGGTTTAACAGCTGAAGACGAAAATCAAATCGAGGATGAAGATAACGACAAAGACCTATCTGCTGCTGGTATTGAAATGAAAAAAATGATAAAGAAGCAACAAAAAGATCTCGAAGACGACAAGGATGATAGCGCCGATGAAAATGAAGAAAAGAATGACGATGAGGATGACGACGAAGAAGAAATAGACCCAGATGAAGATGAAGATTTTCCAAAAGGTCTACCAAATGTTAAAAAAGAAGACGACGGCTCATCAAAAGATTCAAAAGACTCAAAGAAAAAAAGCAAAAAACAAAAAGACGGTTCACCAAAAGGTAAAGAAAAGAAATCCAAAAAGAATAAAGCTGATTCTTCAAATGATACTAGAGATTCAAAGAAATTAAAGAAAGAACCATCCTCACCACAACCACCTCAACCACAACCAAACTCACCACCTCAACCAACATCACCAACCCAACCTGCCGAACCTCCATTCACCGAGGAATACATAAGAAGATACTTAGAAAAGATTAAAAAGATCAAATCTATGGACCTCATCAATATCTTTAAAACACCATTAAAAGATCCAAATAACAAGAAGATTTTCGTCACAATGGTCCAAAATGTTGCTCGTGTAGTTGAAGAAAATGGTGTCAAATATTTAATTCCAAAATAATAGATTCAAAATATATATCCAGAATTTATTATATAACACACTTTTAAAATTTATATCTTTTTTTTTTTTTAATACAGCAATTTTTCTTTTATTTTTTTTTTAAAAAATCTTATTACATCATATCTATATTAAATAAAATAAATTACCCAATTTTTTTTTTTTTTAAACGAAAAAAAAAAATAAAAACTTAAAAAAATAATAAAAAATAATAAAATTTAAAATTTGTAATATTCAAACCTATAAACCTATAAACCTATAAACTCAAAATTTTAAAATAAAATGACAATTATTGGTATGTTTAATTATTTTCTATTTATATATTTTTTATAAATAGAATATTAACTTTTCTTTTTTTTTATAAATAGCATCAATAACAAGTATTTTCAAATCCAATCCATTCAATGGTAATAAATCAAAACTTAATTCATTTGAAGTCTCTATTTTAAGTGAAAATAACAATTTTAATAAAATAATAGTTTCCAATACAAACAATTTAAATAATTCGGTTAATTATAAGATAAACAAATAAAAAAATCTTTTTTTTTTTATCATTACAATACATTAAATAAATATGAATAGCCTTTCTTAAATCATTATTGTTTCTATACAATTTATTAAAATAAATAAAATTTGGGTTGTGGGTTGATATTTAAATTTATATTTTCATATTTTTCCGTTTTTTTAAAAAAATAAAATTAGTTCCTTTGAAAATTTTTTTTTTTTATTAAATAAATAAAATTAAGTATACTAAATATTTGATTATTAAAAAGCAACACTAAATATCTGTTGAAAAGATTATTTTTCGTCTCCTGATGAAAAAGTACTGTCTTCATTATTTATATGATAGTTTTTTAAATTTGAAGGTGAGGTGGGTCTACTGTTATTATTACTATTATTATTATGATAATAACCTCCATTACCAACAACTAAAGTTCCATTACTTGAATGATTAATTTTTCTTTGAGCTTGAAGGAATTTTGGTGCAGTATTTTGTTTCTGTTCAAAGTTACTATTTGAAAATGACCATTTTGAACTACTACTTCCACTACCTGTGCTATCATTTGATGATGAGATTGCTCTTCTATGGTGATGATTAGATGAGATAAGTAGCGGTGATGAGACTCTAATTGGTGAATTTTCCAAATGTTTCCACTGTTCAACTACGGTTCTCATTTCATTTTCTAATCTATGAACCCTACCAAATACCAAACCTGTAATAGTAACTATATCTAAACGCTTTTCTTGTGGAACATTTTCAAGACTTTTCATCTCGATACAATAATGAATATCTTTTAAGAGTTTTTCTAATTGTTGAGATTTGGTTTTATCGGTAATAGTATCCTTTTTAGTTTGATAAAGATTTTTGACATACTCTAAATTTAAATAACCCTTGCTTTCTAATTCTGAAACCCTTTGTGTAAACATATCGAAAGTATCTAAAATAACTAAATAGCTCTTTAAAACAAATTCATCAATTGCTGGATAAATTGTTTCTGCTAAATTGATAACAACTTTTCTAAACTCTTTTTGGATATTTGATTCCTCGTTTGATTGTTGTTGTTGTTGTTGTTGCTGTTGCTGTTGTTGTTGTTGTGATTGTAATTGCTGTTGTTGTTGGTTTTGATCAATAAATAAATTTGTTAAAGAGGAAATTGCATGTGATTGACTATTTGACTTTGGTGTGTAAATTAATGTTGGAATTAACAATATTTGATGTAAAATTTCTAAATTAAATTTAACTGCACTCATATTTTGTGGAGGTTTTTCTAAATAGTCTGCAGGAACAGCTGAAAAACTGAAACCATTCTTTGAAAGAAAGGCATTTAATGAATCTTTGATTAAAGCTAGCCACCATTGACTTAATCTTCCTTTTTCAGTACTATCTAAAATTTCTTTCTTTTCTAAATGAGCTTTATAATAGCAGGTGTCTAATGAGATTAAACTTTGTTGAACTGATGTTCTTAATTCAGTTTCCCTAATGCCTTCTATATTTTTAACGATCTCTTCCATTTTTGCATAAAGTGGAATATAAAAACAGGTTTTTCTTGCTAAAATTATTTTAAACAAATTTAAATATTAATAAAATTATAAATATAATAAACTATAAAAAAATAAAAAAAATTAATATTACCATTTTCTAAAAATGATTTTGATTCTAACCTTGCTAGTTTCTTAACTTCATTTAATAAATTTGTATTTTGAATATTTTTGTTTAAATCTTTAACTGCCTCCATTGTTGATTTTATAGTAGGTAAATCTAAAATTGATGCATTATTATTTCTACATTTATCCATAACTGAAACATCTACATTTTTCTTTTCGAGGTGATCATTAATAAGCTCTCTTTCTTTGAAAGCAAGCAAGTGGAAAAATGGTTTTGATGGGTCGTTGACCAAATCTATATATTTTTCATTTTTGGCGGCTTCAATAATTTCTGGTGTGATTTTATAAATGTTATTTATATTAACTGATAACAGTTGTTTACCATCTTCAGTTGGGATAATATAAACTTTACATGTTCTATTAAGTTCCTCTTCAAATCTTGCAAAAATATAGCTGCCCAATCTATTATCATCTTGCTTTTCATTACCACTGCCAGTATTACTATTATTAATATTAAATTGATTTTGATGGCTTTGTTGTTGATTATTAAATGATGTTGTTGGTATATTATCGAGTGAATCATCAAAATCAAAGAATTGATCTTCAGATTCTAAATTTAAATCGGAAATATTATTACTGTTGTTATTGTTATTATTATTATTGTTATTATTAATACCATTATTTTCGCTATTTGGTGAGTGTGGTTGGTGAAGCTCTTTTTCTTGTTCAATATATTTGATAATAACGAGTTCGCCCTTTCTAAAATCTAAATTATTTAAATTGTTTGCCATTTTTCTAACTTCCTTTACTATATGGTCATCTTTCATTGCACCCCATGATTTAATCATTTTGATTAATGAACGTTCACTGAATGAATTTTGGGATCTTAATCTAAAGACACTATCCAAATAGATTGGATTAACGTCACAGCCAACTAATGAATTATCTGGATCAATATGATGAGTTGTTAAATAGTCTAATAATTCCTTTGCAATTTTAATTTCTTGTGAAAAGTCTACCTTAAAAATACCAGCGCCCGGTGCATTACCATTAACCATACTGGTCATATTACTGGAACTATTTTGCGATGTTAAAACTGGAGATGATGATGATGATAAATAATTAGGTGTATTTGATGCTGATGAATTAAAATTTGGGGTGCCTCCGTTATTATGTTGTGGTGGACTACTAAAATTAATAGTTGTTATTTCTAAATCCTCTTGTGAGTTATTAATAGGTGACGATGTCATACCCTCAAGTTTTGAAAGTGGTGAGCTGTTTGTACTAAGACTTAAATTACCACTATTATTACTATTACTATTATGTACATTATTATTATTATTATTATTATCAATTTGATGTTCTAAATTTTCACTACTATCATTATCTACAACTATAGAATTTATATATACATTTGGGTTACTAGAAGTTAAAGAGAAATTTGGTGATGAATAAGAGGCTGTATTTGAATGGCTGTAAGAAGAAGAGGAAGGATTTGGTGATGAATGAGATGATGTACCACTAGGAGTATGGGTGTAATGTCCCTCGCTAATATAAGATTTGTTAATTAATCGGAGATACTCTGTAATGATTGCTATTAATTTTGGGACTCTTGTTTTTTTTGAATGAACATTTGTGTGAATAAATCTTAAATGAAATATATGAACCATTGATCTACCATCTTTATATTCGGCCAATTGTGATAGAATTTGATTTAACCTTGTTATAAATAGTCTCTCCTCTTTTTCGCTTTTTCTTTTTCTAACCTTACTGTAATTTGCTTTAAAATCGGAGTCGTTGTTTAACAAATCTTCGATCCTATTTAAAATTGTTTCCAAATTTAAATTTTCTAAAAAGCTCATTTCTATATATATATATATATCTATATCTATATTCTATAAATTTTTATTTTGTAAGTATAATATTTTGTGTGCACACATGTAAAATTACAATTGTTATTAATGTATATTATTATTTCTTTGTTTTATATTTATTTATTTTATAATTAATTAATTTAAAATTTAATTAAAAAATATTAAATTTTTTTAACTCTTTATGATAAAATGGGTTTAATAATAACAAATATAACAATATAAAAAATATTATAATAATTTTTATATTAATTTGGATATGTTAGTTTTTATTATTTTAATTAATTTTTATTTGGTGAGTTTTTTCTTTAAAATTAAAGTGGGATTTTTATTTATCGATTTTATTCTTTGATTACAAATATTTGAAATCGGATAATCAAAACAATAAGATTTTAATATTCTACAACAAAGTACTGCACCGTTGAGTGAAGTGTTAAGTGGGTTAAGTTAAAACTTTATAAAGATAAACAAATAAATAAATAAAAAAAAAAAAAAAAAAGAATTTGGGGTGTAGTTTTGTGGTGCTATAATTATGTTTGGGGGATGGATGGAGATGTGTTGGTGTATGAAAGTGTGTTAGTGTATTTATTTTATTTTTTTGTGTGTGTAAAATGTTTGATATATACAATTTTTTTTTTTTTTTTTATTTGTTTGTATAGATATAGTGGTTGGTTTTTGTGATGAAAAAAAATTAAAAAAAATAAAATTATAAAAATTTATAAAAAAAAGTTTTTTATTTTTTTATTTTTTTTTTATTTTTTTTTTTATTTTTTTTACTTGTTTAAATTTATTGGGCAAAACAGTTTAGAAAATAAATATTGTATATCATTTATTCTTTGCTGTTCTTTTATTTGATTTCTTCTCTTTTATTTTATTTATACAAAATCCAATTTAATATTTTTTTTTTTTTTTTTTTTTTTGAAAAATTAATATATTAGGTAATTGGTTACCTCCTTAATTGATTTTAAAAATTTTTTGGGTTGGAATAATGAGCAACCCAGTCTCCTATAATTGGTGCTGTTAAGAATTGACTTGGAATATCAAAAGCTTTGACTAATGGAATAGCATGATCTCTTAATGAATTACAGACTTTATTAATGGTATTACCAATAGCTTGACCTTTGATTGGAGCAAAATATTTATTTGATAAAAACCAACCCAAATCATCTGAAAAAAAAAATGAAAAAAAAATTAATATTTAAAATTAAAAAAAACCCAAAACGTATATTTTTAGTACTTACTTTCGATTTTAGTTAATTCATATAATACACATAATGATAATAAAACTGGTTTGATATCATCAGAAGCCTTTTGAACCTCCTCTAAGAATTTTTCGATTGAAACTCTTTCAACATAGGCATTAGCTAATTGAAGTACTAAATCTAATGAACTGTTCCATGCTTGAATACCTGACATCTTTTCATTTTTAACTTTGCCTCTGAGTGTCTTGATTAAGAGTCTTAAAAGTTTGAATTCACGATAAATGAATGCATCCAAGAGGACATCTGGATCTAATAAATGGCTTTCGGTGTGGAGACGTTTAGTGAAAAAGTTTTTATTTCTTAAAAAGATACCAATGTGACCTTTAGAGTATGTGTAACTGAGCATACCAGTAATTCTCTTTGTGCCTGTGAAATATGATTTGAACTCTTGAAGAAGTGCTTTACTGACAGCTTGCATTAAAACAGTGTTATCACCTTCATAAGTTAAATCGACATCGGTATCAGCACGGAGGATACCAATCTTGTTGCTGGCAGCCATACCTTGACCACCACAGCATTCACGACATAATTGAAGGGTTTTAGAACGATTCCAAGTGGTAGCAGCTTTGAAACCGCAGGCTAAAAGGAAAACATCTCTGGCATCTTTATCAGTTTTATTTTGGAACTTATTGATAACATAATTGATACCGACTTGGTTAATATATACTTCTGCTAATTGTGGGAATAAACGACGTTGATGAGTAATATAATCGATTAAAAGCTCTTCTTTTTGATTGGTTGGTCCAAATTGACGACGTGTGAATGCATAGCTAATTGCAATATAAAGACCCATTTTAGCGGCACTATTGGCCATATTAGCGACAGTGATACGACCACCGATAAGTGATTCTAACATTGAATTGAAACGAACATTTGGATTTTTAATTGGGGTACTATAAACACCAGCGTTATCAATGTCACCAAATTTATTTAAAAGATTATCTTTTGGAATTCTAACCTTGTTAAACCAAATACGACCATTGTCGACACCATTTAAACCAATTTTTGGGCCATTATCAGCAGTAGAAATACCTTTTAATGGTTCTAAAGTTTTAGTGTCACGAATTTGAACTAAAAATGGATGAAGACCATAGTTTTGGCCATTACTGACGAGATTTGCAAAAACTGTAGCAAAGCAACCGTAGGTGGCAGCATTACCAATCCAAATCTTTTGTGCAGTATCAGATGGAGTGTGGATAATAAACTCTTGAGTGGCTGGATCATATTCTGCAATAGTTTCGACACCTTTAACATTTGAACCATGACCCAATTCGGTTAAAGCAAAGCAACCGTTCATTTTACAAGTATCAATATCGTTGAAATACTTTTCATGCTTTTCTGTACCTAAACATGCTACTGAACCTGCAAATAAACCCCAATGTACTGATGACTTTACTGCTAATGACATGTCAGAATAAACTAAAGTACTTTGAAACATTGAAAACTTTTTATAATTTGTAACGATTTCACTACACTTTAATACTGGGTCATGAGATAATGCTACCAATCTATTTTGAGTTAACTCTCTTAATTCGTGAAAACTAACATATGGTTTCCATTCAAATATTGGATCTTTTAATTTGTCGACTAAACGATTACGATCCTCTTGAAGTTGTTTATCTGGATGATCAAAGAGAATAGCAGTGAGCTTTTCGATTTTATTTGAATCTAATTGAATCTTTGAACTTAATTGTAATAAATTATTTACTGATGCTGTTTGTTGATTATTTGAATTGGTTGTTGATGTTGCCACAACATCATTACTTTGTAATAAATATTGATTATTATCATCATTATCGAAATGATTACATAAAACTGATAACCTTTCCATTTATTTATTTATTTATTTTTATTATTTTTATTATTTATATTTATCGTTTATTTAAAATTTTATTGAAAAAAAAAAAAGTGTTGTTTGGAAATAAAAATATAAAAATAGTTTTTCCTGGGATTTTAAGGAACAAAAATAAATAAATATATAATTATTTGTGTGATATATAAATATAAAAAAAGATAAAAATTTTAATTAAAATATATAAAAATAAAAAAAAATAAAAAAAATTAAATAAATTTCAAAAAAAAAAAAAATTAAATTTAAACACACACACAAAAAAAAAAAAAATAATAATAAATACTATTTTTTATTTAAGCGTATAGAAGTTACAAAAAAGAGAAAAGGTGGCACCATGAAAAAAAATGTAAAATTAAAAAAAAAAAAAAAAAAAGAAATTTTATTATAATACCACAGGATTTTTTTGTTTTTTTTTTATTTTTTTTTTTTTTTTGAAATTTCTTTGTCATGGCAGATAAAAATATTTAAACCAAATAAAAGTATTGTTTTGATTTTAATTATAACAAAATTCTCTCATCATTTTAAACCATTTATATTACTTTTTGAATCATGAAAAAAAAAAAATAAAAAAAAATAAAAACAATTAATGATAAAATTTTAATCTTCACACACAAAATCATCTTTTTTATTTTTTTTTTATTTATTTTATTATTTATTTTTTATTTTTTTTATAATCATTTGGTGTAATATTTTTTGATTTGATATTCTTGAAATAATTTAAAGAAAAAAATAAATAAATAAATAAAATAAAAATTTTAAAAGAAATTTCAACCAATTTTTTTTTTTGGATTGTGGCGAAATAATAAAAAAAAAAGAAGCATGACATATAAAATGACAACATATAAAGAATACAAACTAAAAAAAGTATAATAATTTAATTTAATATACTTTTTCGTTGATTCGTTAGGTTTAAAAGTAATTAAAAAATAAATAAAAAAAATACAATTTTAATTTTTTTTTTTTTTTTTTTTTTTTTTTTTTTTTTACCAACGACTTTTTTTATTCATTGGTTATATTTGTTTAAATTAAAATTTTTGAACACTTTTTTGTTTCTAAAACTAAGGCAAACATAAAATACTCACTCACATTTTAAATTGTGTTGTTAATTATTTTTATTTTTTTTTTTTTCCGAATTGTTAGCATTGTGTTATTTTTAAAATTGTAACATTATATAAATTATAATATACATATAGTTTCTTGTAAAATTACATCTATTTTAGATTTTATAATAACTTTTTCACAAGCTAATAATCGAAAAAAACTAAATAAAAACTAAACTGTTTTTTCCATATTACCACCACCCACATAATTCGAATTTTTTTTTTTTTTTTTTTTTTGACATATTAATATTTATGTGATATTTCGCATTACCTCTCAAGCCTCACATCACGCCCTCACATCTTTATCACAACACCCATCGCAATTGTTTTAAAATAAAAAATTCAAAAAAAAACTTTTTTTAAAAAAAACCAATTTTTTTTTAATCCACACAAAAAAATACGTGATATAGTAATAATATCATTTTTGTATTATTTGTTTTTTTAATATTATTTATCCATTAAATAATAAATATATAAATAAATATAATAGTAATAATAATAGTTCATTCCATATCCATTACTATTAATAGTTTTTATAAAATAGTATATACCATAAAACACACACACTTATTTCATTCAACACACCCCACCTTTTTTTAAAGTTTTTTTTTTCCATCCAATTTTTAAAAAATAATTATTAATTTTTTTTTTATTTTTTAAAAAAATTTTATTTTTTAAAATTTTTTCTTTTTATTTTTTAAAATTTTTTAAATATAAACAAATTTTAAATATACATATACCATACACAAAATATTTATAAATATTTATTTTTCATTGCAATAACTATTATTTTTTGTTTATAAATAATAAAATAGTAATAATAATAATATAAATAATATAATATTAAAATTTTTTTTTTTTTTTTATAAAAACATAAATTTTAAAAAAAAAAAAAAAAAAAAAAAAAAATCAAAATTATTTTCATTCCATTCACAATTATTTTATTTTTATTTTTATTTTAAATAAATAATCATCTAAAAAAATGATTGAAAGTAAAGAAATTTTAGTTAGCGAAGTTAAAAAGCACAATGATAAAAGTGATGCATGGGTATCTTTGGATGGCCAAGTGTATGATATTACATCGTTTATGTTTGAACACCCTGGTGGATCAGATATTTTAATAGAGCATTTAGGGGAAGATATTTCAGAAGTATTCATCGATGGTGCAATACACGAACATTCAGAGGTAGCATTCAACATGTTAAAGAGTTATCATATTGGCAGACTTGCAGGTTATCGTAAGCCTGAAGGAAAGCAAACAGTATCAGAATATATCAAACAACAAAAATTAAAGAAACAGCAATCAAATACTTCAAATAAAATTTCATACACCTCAGATAATACAATTGACGAAAATATTTTAAAGCTTGTCGATCCAACAAAACCAATGGTACCACAATTGAAATATTTAGTTGGTCCAAATTATATGAAATGGATTCACTCACAAACTGGTCTTAAAAAAATTATTATCTTTGACAATTCAATTTTAGAATTATTTACTCGTTGGCCATGGTGGTACATTTTTGTTTTAGTAAGTTTTATTAATAATAATTATAATAATAATAATAATAATTATAATAATAATAATAATAATAATAATAATAATAATGGTTTGGTATGGTTAATATTAATTCTTTTTTAAAATTTTAATTTATTTTAGTGGATCCCAATTATTACTACAGCTTTAATTTATTCAACACTTCAAGAAAAATCATCAGTTTTATCATCAATAACTACATTTTTCATTGGTTTATTCTCATGGGGATTAATCGAATACATACTTCATAGATGGGTTTTCCACATCGAAACTACATCATACTGGGGTAACTTTTTCCACTTTTTCATCCATGGTATTCATCATTTAACTCCACACGACCATTCTCGTCTTACTTTCCCACCAATGTTTTCAGTTTTGATCGGTTATGGCGCCTTTAAAGGTTTCTTAAAATTCCCAGATCATTGGCACTTAACTGGTCTTCCATGGGCTTTTTATGCTGGTGTTGCTTGTGGTTACATGTTATACGATACCGTCCATTATTATTTCCATCATGCTGATATCGAATGGTTACCACAAATCTTTAAGGATATCAAAACTAATCATCTTAATCATCATTACAAAGATGATGCCAAAAATTACGGTGTTACCTCACCAATTTTTGATTATGTTTTTGGTACTTTTGACAAATAAAAAAAAAAAAAAACAATTCTTGTTAATTTATAATATTTAAAATAAATGAATTTTAATTATATTCTTATTTATTATTAAAAAAAAAAAAAACTAATATTAATAAAAATAATATTTATAAAAAAAATAGTAAGAATAATAAAAATCACAATTATCAATAACATAGAACGACATCAAAAAAAACATCTTGTTTTTTAAATAAACAATTTCTTTTTTAATAATTATCTTTATTTGTTAAAAGCTTCTACCTATTTTTTTTATTATTGGTTTTCTAATGACTCATCAAATTATTCATTATTAAAAATAACACTTTTACAAATGACTCATCAAAAAAAATTGAATATAAGAGTTTTTTTATTTTTCAATTTATTTAATCCCGCCCTAACAAAGAAATGTATATTTTTAAATTTATTTTTTTTGTTATATTTATTATTATTTTTTATAAAAAAGTTTTTGAAAAATATAATTTTTATAATGATATTTCAAATAGTAATAATAACAATAATAATTATAATGATAATAAAAATAGTGTTGATTTTAAAAAAAAAGATTTTCCAGTTTTATCAAGGGGTTATGAAAAAATAGACTATTTGGTATTAAATTCACAGTATACCACTAAATCTCAAGGAAGAAGAGATATTTTATATAGTAGTCAAAATGCAAGTGAAAGATTTTTTATTGGGTCAAATTCTTTTTCTAGAGCTGTTGCATTTAATAATATAAATTATTCACCCCAAAATATTTGGAGTGTAGCTTTACTAGGTTTGCAAAAAATAGTAAATGTTTCAAGGTTAGTTTCAACAAAGAATTGGAGTGCACCAATTATATTAAAGAACTCAACATTATTTAATATTTCAGCACTTGAAGCAGAGAGTGTATTAACTAAAGAGATTTCAAGCTATATAGATTCCTCTTTTTCATCTTTAATTTCCCCAAACTTTTCAACACCAAACACAAAGGATAATTTAATATTTTTCGTAAACATTATGGGCAGTGTTTTTAAAATGCATGACTATTACCGTGGTTCCCCTAAACGAGGGTACAATTTAGATCTTATAGCATCGGAAAAATCAATAACTTTGCTTGGTAAAACTCAAGATTATGAATCTATGAAAAGCCAAATCAAGTCAATATATGAAAAATTATCACAAATATTAGAATCAAATACAGATATACCCCATGATGAGAAATATCTCGAGATTATAAGACTCTACGATTGGTACGAAAAGAATTCATATTACCTTGAATTGTTCATTAGGAATTTATCGACAAAAAGTTACAAATTAAATATTGCTGTTTTTGATTTTGATGAATCCAACACTAATTATGGTTTTTCAGGTCTATCCAGAGGTTATTCATACTTGCCAGCCAAAGTCATCGATGAAAACAATAATAATATTTATCCAAATGAACGCACTAAAATATTCGGTGGTCATTTCGGTGCGGATCTAATACATCTAAAAGATATGGAGCCCGAGGAGCCATATAAAAACTCAATAGCTTTACCACAAATCGATTGGGTTCTTACAAATTATTACCCTGATATAAAAAAAACTAAAATAAAAGGAAAAAACCAATTTACATAGTATTTTTATTTAAAACTATTTTTTATTGTTTTATTTTTTTTAGTTGACTATTTACAAAGTATATACAAGTTTTTGTTGCTGTTGCTGTTGCTTTTTTTTATGTTGCTTTTATTATTTTGTTATGTTATTGTTTTTATTAATGTGTTTTTAGTTTATAATATTATTGATATTATTGGGTTTATTGATCTTTATCAAATACTGAATAGGTATTTTGATTTTGTAAATCATCAATTCTTCTTTGGATTGTATTTATAATTTTTTCATCAGCTGCTTGTAGAAAAAGATGGGTTTCATCTAATACAATAACTTCAAAATGTTCTTGTTTGCTAATATATTCAACAAATTGCTTTGTTGGTGGATCACTATATAGGTTTAAGATATTATTAGTATATGAGTATTTATAAAGGAATTATTTATGATATCAATTGTTACCATTCTAAAAATAAACCTTTGTATACATGTACCATGGTTTTATACTTTTTATTTATGATTAAAATAAACAAATAAATTAAAAAACAAAAAATAAAAATTTAAATAATTTTTTGAGAAAATTTAAAAAAAAAAAAAAATAAAAAAAAAAAAGTAAAAATTTTTAAATATATAAATGGAGGTGTTTAGTTTTATAATATTTCCTTTTTATTATTCAGTTAATAATTAAATTTGATTTTATATTTTTTTTTTTTTTTTAATTGTAAAGAAAAGCAATTAGATCATTCCAAACAAGGTAAAATATTAAAAAAAACAATACCATATATAGAATGGTTTTGATCTTGAAAAAATAAATAATAAAAAATATACTAATATAAATAATTTAAAATAAATAAAATAAATAAAATAAACAAAATAAATAAAAAAAACAAAATAAAAAAAATAAATAAAATAAATTATAAAAAATTATAAAAAATAATATAAAATTAAAAAAAATAATTAATAAACAAAAAAAAAATACCCACAATAGAAAATATTAGTTTATAACAAGAGGTTAAATATCCAAAAAAATTATATAATTAAATAAATAGGTGATATCAATAGAAAATTCAATATGAGTATAAGGTCTAATTATATACTAGATTCCCACCAAAAACCAATATCAATATAAAAGAATTATATATTATTAAAAGATAAAATTAAATTAATAAAATTATAATTTAAATTAATTTATTAAAAAAAGTTTCCTTTTTTTTCAACCTATCCATAAGTACCACAAAATTAGTGATTAAAAATTATCGTTATTCTCAGTTTTTACCAATTATCGTTAGCGTATTCATTTCACTAAAACTTTAAAAAAAAAAATAATGCACAAAAAATTAAAGAAAAAAAAAAAAAAAAATTAAATTAAGATTTATTATAAATTTTTAAAGATAATAAAATGATATTAATACCATTATTTTATTTATTTTATTATATTTTTATACTATTAGCCACTCTTTGTAAAGAGTGTTTCCAGCTCTACCACGGGGAGGTTAGTATATTAGAGCCGGATGGTTAATTATTTATACCTTCAGGCAGTATAAATAATTAAACACCAAATTGAAAATTTGTGGATAATTATGTATCCCACCACGCAGAATACATAATTAACCACCACATTGAAAATTAAGTAAATTTCAAAAACATAGATACCAAGCGGGCCCAACTCAGTATCTATGTAATCAAAATACCTATTGAGAGTTTATTTTATGATCCATACTACTTGAAATTTTGAATGTTATAATATTTGATATTTTTTAAAGATCCATAATACTTGATATATTTTTAATTCTAAATAATCCTTGATATTTTCATTAAATAATCCTTGATATGTTTTAATGCTAAATAATCTTTGATGTATTTTAATGATTCAATATAGTTTATATTTTTATATGCTATAATACTTGATATTTTTAATGACCCACAATATGAGTGTTACACAATAATTGATATATTTAAATGATCCAATTAAATATTTATGTTTTAATGATAAATAATCCTTGATATATTTGAATGGTACACAATAGTTGATATTTTTATATGCTCAGTAATACTTGATATTTTTAATGACCCACAATACTTTATAATTATTATACAATAAATCTTGATATTCTTGAATGATCAAACCCACTTGAATTTACCTAAATGTGTATATTAGAGCCGAATGGTTAATTATGTATCCCACCACGCAGAATACATAACTAACCACCATATTGATAATGAGTGAAGTGAGGTGTAATGTGTGTTGTGTTGTGTGTAGTGGGTGAATATATTAGAGCTGAATGGTTAATTATGTATCCCACCACGCAGAATACATAATTAACCACCATATTGATAATAGAATGAAATGAAATGTAAATGCTAATATTTGATACATTATATTTTTTAAATGCTAAATATTTGATACTTTTGCATGATCCATATTACTTTTTAAATGCTAAATATTTGATATTTTTGTATGATCCATATTACTTTTTATTTTATCCATAATACTTACCAATAATCATTACATTCAATAAAAAACAAAAGATAATTGAGTGAAAACTTAATTGAATGATAAATAATATTTGATATTTTTTAATGATAAATAATACTTGATATTTTATAATGATAAATAATACATGATGTTTTTAAATGATAAATAATACTTGATATTTTTAATGATAAATAAAACTTGATATTTTTAATGATAAATAATATTTGATATTTTTTAATGATAAATAATACTTGATATTTTTAAATGATAAATAAAACTTGATATTTTTAAATGATAAATAATACTTGATATTTTTTAATGATAAATAATACATGATATCTTTAATGATAAATAAAACTTGATATGTTTAAATGCTAGATAAATATTTGGTATTTTAAATGCTAAATATTGCTTGATATTTTTTAAATGCTTAATAATTCTTGATATTTTTTAATGATAAATAATACTTTGATATTTTTAAATGATAAATAATACTTGATGTTTTTTAATGATAAATAATTCTTGATATTTTTAATGATAAATAATTCTTGATATTTTTAATGCTAAATAAATATTTGATTTTTTAAATGCTAAATATTACTTGATATTTTTTAAATGCTTAATAATACTCGATATTTTTGTATCATCCATATTATTTTATATTTTTTAAATGCTAAATAATAATTGATGTTTTTGTATCATCCATATTACTTGATAATTTTAATGCTAAAAAGTACTTGATATTGTAGTGTGATCCATATTAATTGATATTTTTTAAAAGCTAAAAAATATCTGATATTTTGTATGATCCATATTATTTGATATTTTTTAATACTTATTTACTTGATATTTTGCATGATCCATAGTACAATACTTGATATTTTTAATGATCCTAATACTTACCTTATAATCATTACATACAATAAAAAACAAATAGTTGATCGAAAACTTGATTGAATATTACACAACATTTAATATTTTTTAATAGTACATAGTTCATGATATTTTTCAATGCTAATATGTTTAAATGATAAATAATTCTTGATATGTTTAAATGCTAAATAAGACTATATATGTTTATATGATAAATAATACTTGATATTTTAAATGCTAAATATTACTTGATATTTTTTAATTCTAAATATTACTTGATATTTTTTAATGATAAATAAAACATGATGTGTTTAAATGCTAAATAAACATTTTAAATGCTAAATATTTCTCTATATATTATAAATGGTAAATAATACTTGATATTTTTGTATCATACATATTATCTGATATTTTTTAAATGGTAAATAATACTCGATATTTGTATGATCCATATTACTTTATATTTTTTATGCTGAATAATAGTTTTGATATTTGTATGATCTATAATACTTGTTATTTTTTAATGATTTTCCAAAATATTTGATATTTTTTTTTTTATTATCACACTGCATTTTCCAAAATATTTGAAATATTTTTAATGTTACACAATATTTAATATTTTTTAATGATTCAAAATACTTAATCAATTTTTTATTTACTTGTATATTATATATTATAATTGATTTTTTTTTAATACCACACTGCATTTTCCAAAATTGATTTTTTTTTATTATCACAATGCATTTTCCAAAATATTTGATATATTTTTTATTATCACGCTGCATTTTCCAAAAATTTATTTAA